TGTAAACACATTTAGACTAGTAAACCCTAATAGCAACAAATGCACCTGGTCAAATGGCAGATCTAGTTCAAGAATAGACTACATATGGGTAGACCCAGATCTCAGAAGTATAGTTTTTGATAGCGATATTAAAAAAATAGATTTATGCACAGGAAGTGATCATCACCTAGTATGGGCAGATCTATTTACAAAGCTATTAGTAGGCACAAGACCCCAAAGTATACAAAAAAAAACAATACTTAGTATGTGAAAAATTTATCTATATAACAAGGCAACAACAGAGGACTGGAATAAATACAAAAACCTTATCGAAAAATACATTCAAGAGGAAAAAAACAAAGAAACGAAAATGAAAAAATCTTTGATCTCTAATATAGCAGAAACAAAAATAAATAGCCAATGGAAAAAACTAGCTAGGTGGATCCACACTGCAGCAAGCAAGTCTTTTTCTTCCAAGAAAATTAAAAACACACTAGAAGAAAAGCAAAAACTAGTAACTTGGAACCCTAAATATAAGTGGATTAAAGAACTTTGTAAACTAAAAAGAAGAGCGACCAAGAATTTAACTAGTAACATAAACCTAACAGAGAAGTTAGAAGTTAACAATCTAATAGATAGAACCAATAACCTCAATAAAACCCTCATTTTCAAAGTAGAAATTAGGTGGAAACAGCTTGGCAAAATGAAATTAAAAGCTAGATAAAGGTTCTAGAAAATAAAATGATCTTAGAGCAAAGAAAGGAAAAAGAAAAAGAAATTAGAGAATATATAGAAAGAAGATTTGGAATGATAAGAAAACAAGATAAACTAATGCTCTGTAGTATACTAGAATGCCCTTGGCAAAAGATCTAAATTGACAGAATATTAATTAGAGATCTGGCAGACCCAAGTTATACTCAACTTATACACTAGCCAGAAGAGGTAAAGCAAGTAGTAACACAACACTTTAATACACAATACAACAAAGAAACAATCTTAGCAATAAATATAATAAGAGAATAGGAGTCAGAATACAACTCCAAGACATGGATACAAGAAGAGTGGTACAGCTCAGTATTAAACAAAGTATCAATTGCAAACTCGGAGAGTACAATCTATTCAATAGAAATGTCCTCAGCTCTGGGCCTATCAGGCATAGGGTATACACTACTTAAGAAACTTGGAAAAGAGATCCAAGAATACATAGTAAACATGCTAAACCTAATACTACAAGAAGGTATATACCCCAAAAAATGAAAAGCAGGAATGATCTTTCCAATCCTTAAAATAGCAGAGTAGAATCTTACATTACAGAACACCAGACCTATAATGCTACTAGAAGCAGCCAGAAAATGTTTTATTAAGATTATACAAAAAAAACTTAATATGATACTAGTAGAAAAACAAATTCTAAAAGGTTTAAACTTCACCAGTCTCCTGAAAGAAAGTAAACAGGAACCAATCCATATGATAAACAGTCTTATAAAAGAAACAAAGGAAAAGAACAAAGAACTATATACACTGTTTTTAGATATAAAAAAGGCCTTCAACTCTATAAATCTGGCTAGTCTAAAAGAAGTGATGGAAAGAATCTGACTTCCACAACAACTAATTCATTTGATATTCGAATTCTTTGATAGCAGAGAAATTAAAATAATCACTAAATTTGGACTTACAACTAGGTTTTCAGCAAAAGAAGGTATAGACCTAGATGAAGTAATATTACTACTACTCTGGAGAATATACTTGAACCTTCTTTTATACAGGTTACAACATTCTAAGCTAGGAGTATTGATCAAAGTAGACTGGCCAATAGATACTGCAACAAACAAAACTAGAAATAAGGCAACAAATATAGCAGCAATTGCTTATGGTAATGACACAGTACTCTTGGCTAACTCACAAGAAGAGCTAAAACCTGTGTTAAATATCACTGAAAGTTTCTTTCATAGAAACTATATAGAGCTAAACACAAAAAAGTCTGAATTAGTTATATTCAATGGTAAAAAAGAGCCCTATTTAAAAACCATCTTGTTATTTCAAGGAGATGTGGAGATTCCTGCCAAGAAGAAAAAAGAACTCAAAAGATACCTAGGAATATGGCTAGCAGCAAAAGAAATTAGAAGAAGCCTTAAAGCAAAGCTTAAAAGAGAGACTATAGAGCTTGCCAACTTGATTAAAAAAAAAGAAATTTCAATTAGCAAGCAAAATACATTAATAATAAAATCCTCCTGCCTAGACTAGACTACAAATTAAGCACCTGCCTCCTGTCTAAATAGGAGTGCAGTGAAATACAGAACCCTATACTACAGGTAGTTAAATATAAAGCTGAAACATAGTACACAGCCTCTAATGCTCTATTTTTTTATCCTGTTTTCCTAGACCTGAAATCACTTTGGCAAAGACATCTAGAAAGTATAATAACAGAATGGGTCATAAGAATTAATAGGCCTAATATAGCAAGAAATCTAGCGAAACTAAGATTAAAGAAGCCTAACTAAACTTACTAGCAACAGAACCCATATGGCTTTTAGACAAAACTACAATCAACTCCATAAGCTGGACAAACAATTTTAATGAAGAGGTCTCACAATAGCAAAAAAGCTTCAAGTATCAGTCACTAGCAATATTGCCAAAAAAGAATGGAAAATCTGCTCATTACAAAACCCAAACTGAGAAATTAAAAAAATACTACAGGATAATAATTATCTAAGCAATTTGAAAAGTATACAAAAGCTAAGGTTATAGTATATAGATTAAATTATACTTGAAAAGGAGCAGACACTACTAACCTGGCAGCAACTGAAATGAATTAGAGGTATTTCCATGAAAGGCAGAGTGCCAAATTGGTTTAAAAAGCTAGAAGATATACTAATAAATAACCCAGATCAAAGAACAATTAAAACTTGCTATAGAAGACAAGACCTCGAGAAACCACAGCTACAAATAAAATAAAAAGCTCTTAAAATTAGCAACAAAAAATCTAGACATGAATGGGTCCTTGCTAAAAAGAAAAACTGTACTGAGTTAATTTTTGCAGAATAGACAAAAAACTAACTAATAGTAAAATAGAAATCAAAGAATAAAAGAGAGCAACAAAGAAAATAGAAAAAGATCTAGCTATCAGCAAACTAGAGTCCAAATAAAAGAAAAGACACAAAACAAAAAAGTAAGAATAAACCAAAAGAGCTCTGAGGATATTAACAACTGGGTTAGAAGAGAGACAGAAGGCTGGAATCTGCTAACTAATCTAGAATCACTAAAAGCTACCTCCTCTTTAAATCCAAGCAATCAAAAAAACCCAGCTAAACACATTCTAATAGACAGCATTAAGCCAAAAGGTTGGGATCAAATTAGTATAAAAAAATTGATTGCGAACTAAGATAAAGTAGATGAAAGACTGAAAGCTCTAAAAGATAATTAAAAATTTTATATTCTAACATACTATACAGATGGCTCACTAGCAAAATCCAATACAAATGGTTGTCTAGCTAGTTATAGCATAGTCCAAGTAGATAGTGAAAATAGACTAGTAAGAGAAATAAAAGGCAGAGTAGAGAATTGGTATTCTTCAACAAGATCAGAACTTATAGCTATTCTTCAAGCAATTTTAATATCTCCCTCAAATATAAGAGTTGAAATACACACAGATAGACAACCTGCGATTCAAGCAATTAACTAATCTCTAAAGATAGAAAGAATAAGAGAGTAGTATAAGACAAAGAATAGTAATATTCTAGACAAAATAAGAGAAAACATACTGACCAAAAATATTGCCTTAACACTCTATAAAGTTAAAGCCTATTCTGGAATCGCATTTAATGAAAGAGCTGACAACTTAGCAAAGCAGGCTTTGAGACTTCCACTCCTACACATATTTTAACTAGCAATATGAAAGGTCTTCTATTCTCACCAACATAGAATGCATACCATATAGAAGTCTCTATATGATCCTTTATCAAAAACTTCCTAAACAACTACTACAAAGCGGAGTAAACTTTCTACAGATATCAAAGTGATGAAGCTCATAGTAAAAGAAATGAAACCAAAGACTGGAAGAACTTCAAATCTTTCTAGCAAAAAACACAAAGTTCTAGAGGAAGCAGTCTCAAATCAAACAAACAGTGAGCCTTCAGAATCAAATCTGTAGATGCTTTACTTCTAATACTCATTAAAAGAAAATAAGACCAAGGGACTTTATATGACACTACAATCTGCTAGAAATGCAAATCGGAAGAGGAAACCTTTGAACACCTAATAAATTATTTTGCTGATAAAAATATATGGGATATGAGAGAACTAGATATACTACAAAAAATTTGATCAGATCTTAGTGAGGAAAGCAAAGCTAATAAGCTTACAAACACTAAGAAAAACTATCCTAGATCCAGAAATCTCAAACTCACAAAGAAGAAACTCCTTAGCCCAAAGAATTATAAATATAAGGTGTAGGAACAACCTTCTCTTATCAGGCCTAAAGGAGAAATCAATAAACAACATCCTACTAACCTGGCTAAATAAATGGATGATCATTTTTCAAGACAATATATGGAGACCCAGATACAAAGTAACTATAGAATGGGAAAAATTGAACAACATAGATCTGAAACAAAAAAGAGAAAAGAAAGAAGAAAGGAGAGAGAAAAAAAAAAAAAGAAGCTAAAAAAAATATCAACCAAGTTACTTGAGGCCCCCACTTTACAGAAAATATAAAAAGAAAAAGGTCTCTGAACTTTAAAGAAGAAGAATGCCTGAAGTTTACAATTAAGAAAATTAAAAGACGGATAGAAGTAGAGGTTAGTAGTTGGTAGAACTTAATCTAAAAGCGATCATGATTAGGGTTGAGAACGGGCCGGACTAAGCCCGGGAATTTATGGGCCGGGCCGGGCTCGGGCCTAATTCAGGCCCACATTTTTGGGCCCGTTAATTTTTGGGCCGGGTCCAGGTTAGGCCCGTTTAAATAATGGGCCGGGTATGGGTTTTGTGACCAGGCCCGGCAGGCCCAATGGGCCTATTATATTATGCTATTGGCACTTCAATTTAATTGTACTTTTCTAAAACTAATCAAAGTTTTTTAGCAGATAAAATTGCTTGAGGATTCAATCTGCTAAGTCAAACCAGAGAACCTTCTAAATATTATACCGATTATGCAGGCTTTTCTTGATGGTGCTCATATATATAGTAATTGCACAATTCCAAAGTTACAACTTTGGAAGCTTAAATAGAATTATAAAGGGTGTATCTGAAGATGTAAGTTTGCCATATGAGTTCAGAATTGTCTGTTACAATACTGTGTCTTGTTTAATTTCAAGATGCGAAATTTTATTAACGAATAATTTATATCTTTGTTGTTTTTCTAGTTAATGAACTGGATAAATTTAGCTTAAGTCTTTTTATACGAAATAACTACTATAACTATTCACTTTCATTTTATGAAATAAAACTTTAAATTTATATTTGTACATTATTCTAAATCATAAATAAAATTTATCATTAACTTATTCAAAAACAAATACATCAGATCTTTAATTGAAACTTAAAATTGTCTAATTTATTTCAAAAAAAAAGCACCTATTAATGCCAATATTCCTTTAAACTTTAATAATTTGAAAAAAAAGTAATTAAAAATTTTTTAAATACAAATAACCTCATTTGATTTATGAAGTAATTTAAGTGCAGCAGATAAAATCATCGATTTTGACTTATCCATATCGATATTGCTTGCATTTTCTGTTATTACTAAAAAATTTAATTAACAAATTTAATTGTTATATGAAATAATATCTTAAATAAAAAAAATATATTATATGAATACTTTTTAATATATGAAAGCTAATGCATTAATCACTTAGAATATTACCATTAATAATCATCTAGTTATGAAAGGTTAAATTTCAACATATTTTTTTTAAAAATTTTTTAAAGAAATTATATATTATATATCATTTTTTAGTCTGTCCAACCTCGTTCTTTTGCACTTACTAGCCAATCTTGACCACATATTAATGTTTCAACAGTTTCTGGGGTTAGATTTGATCGATAATCATTAATAATTCTTCCAGCGGTGCTAAATACCTGATTAAAATAACATGAGTTAACTTGTATTATATAAAACAAGCAACTATATCTTGACTTACTGATTCTGAAGCTACGGATGTAATTGGAATAGCAAGAATGTCTCTTGCTATCAATGCCACAGAAGGATATACCAGCGCATTTTCTTTCCACCAAGCTAAAATGTCAAATGATTCTGAAGAACGGGGATAAAGCAGATCTGCAAGATATTTCTCAAACTCATTCATTTCATTAGCGATATTATTTTGATTATCTGCAAGAAATTGATCGAAATCTTTCATTAATTCATCTTCCTGAGAAATAATATTAGAAGAATTATATCTGTTAGTAGCAACTGCATTTTGCAGATATGTTGTTCTATAGATCGTCATAACACTATATGATAGTAAATGAGTATATCAAAAGAAAACCTGTAAATCAGTTTTTTTAATTTTCATTAATAGCTATATATTGAACTATATACAGCTACAACAATATCAATGAGTACAAATTATTTAAAACAACCTACTTTGTTTTAATAAGATTTAACTTGTCCTCTGCTTTAGTGTTAGACAAGTTCATTTTCTGCTTATACAAGTGAGTTAGAAGTGCTATTTTGTAACGAGAATCCATCATCGATGCAATACAACATGTGATTTCTATATCTGACCAATACTTATCAAACTTGGTTCGCATAGATACAACCATTTGACATATAAAAGGATCTGTGTTAGCAGTATTTCGTTTAAGATGCATCTTGATTTTCACCAAATGAGGAAGAAAAATATTTGATGTCGAATAATTACTTCCCGATATAATATTTGTAACTATATTAAAGAAAGTAAAAACTTAATTATTAGTAAAATATACAGTATACGCTGATTAAAATATCTAGAGTCTGAAACAAATCAGAGCCAGTGGCTATTAGAAGCAAAACTAGTTAGCAAAATTAGCTATAAAAGTTGCAAAACTAGCAAAATACACAAATACATATATGTAGTCATATGTTCAATAAATTTCTTAATCTATTAATTTAAGTTCATTTAAAACATGCATATAATTACTTGTTAAAGAACAAAGATTACCTAATTAGCACAAAAGTAGCAAATTTTGCATCTTAGCACAAATGTTGCTAGTGCTACTAAAATCCAAACAAAATGTCTACTAGATATATTATATACAGAGGTACTGAATAATTAATTGCAATATACAATTTAGCAATTGCAATTGTGTTGCTTTTGCTATTTGTATTATGTCAAAAATATACTTATAAAAAATGTCTATTATTACATATTTTACATATCATGATTGATTAATTGTAGCTGTGCTACTAATTAATTAATTGATACAATTAATTATTTAGAAAATTTTCAAGTATATCGATATCAATATACACTTACTATTAATAAACTTCTGCTTTACTCAAGTATTTTTATGAGGGATATAATAAAAAGGGAACCTTTTAACTAGTATGGTACAGTACTAGAAATTTAATTACCTTTATAAAATGGCTTTAAAAAGCCACAAATACTCTTGGCTTTTTCCCAGTCTTCATCAGAAGGCATAATTTGGTCAAAATTAGAATCACGTAGTGATAGATATTCAAATACACTTTTATATTAAACTGTTGAAGATAACATGAGATAAACAGAATTTCAGCGAGTAGGCACATCAAGGGTTGGTCGTTTGCTAGATACAAGTTCAGAACAACATCCAACTACAGCATCATTAAAGGTTTGTTGTCGGTGTTGTGAGCTATGAATCCACTTTGCACATTCTCTGATTTTACTTGTAATATTCTTAACCAATTTAAGGCCATCCCCGACTATGAGATTCAAAACATGGGCAGCGCAACGTTGGTGTAGAAAAATTCTATCAGCAATAAGCATATCTTTTTCATAAAGCATAGATTCTATATTATTAATTGCAGCATCATTATTAGTGGCATTGTCTACAGTAATTGCTAAGATTTTTGATACAACACCCCAATCACTAATACATTTAAAAAACATTTCACTAATAGCAACTCCTGTATAGGGTGCAGAAATTAGTTTAAATGCTATAACTAATTTTTGAATCTTCCAATTACTATCAACAAAATGGCATGTTACAACCATATATCCAAGAGTTTGGTTTGATATCCATAAATCTGTTGTATAACTTAAATTCCCTAGTGCCTCTTGAATCAATAAATGGACTTTTGATTTAAGATCTTCAACAATTTTATAAAAATCTTCATGCACTGTTTTCCTACTTATCATTCTAAATAGTGGCTATAAATTGTTAACAAAGGTTAGAAACCCCTCATGTTCAACTATACGAAATGGATACGCATGTATAATAATCATATTAATCAAATCTCGATGACTTTTTTCTTGGGAAAATTTATAGGTTACAAGGCCTGATGAAGAAAACTGTAATGTTTTTTGTGATTTGTCAGTTTTAAGATATTTGCTGCATTTTGTATTTTTAATATGACGAATTAATGTACTGGTTCCTGTCTCATTATCATGTTTTAAAAAATAATTACAGTGTGTGTATTGAGCATAATTCACTAACAAATTATATTTTATAAATATTAATTACTTCATAGATTAATAATTATAACATTACAAAACATAAACTTTTACGTTTTTCAGGATCATCAACTTTAGTAAAATGGCCTTCTTTAAAAACCCATGATTGTACATTGATTGTTTTACGCTTTTTATTATTAGAAGTAGTTTCAGAACTTTCATCAACTGTGGCTTCAAAATTTTCATTAATTATTTCAGCACTTTCGTTCATTTCATTCATGTTAGTTATTTCTGTGCTTTCTTCTTCGCTTTCATTTACAGAATAATAAATACCTTCTAATTGTTATAACGGTCTCATAAGTTTAATTTAGAATATAAAAATACTATGAACTTTTTAGTGTATTGATTGTTATACCATAATCCATTTTCTATTTTCCAAGTTTATTCAACAAAACCTCAGACAATGCAATCTAAAAAAAAAAAAAAAAAATCAGCAACATGCTTTTTATTCGATTTTTTTTTAATGTACATACTTACAAGCGTTCTCTTTTACACCAGGCCTTCTGTAACTTTAACAGCTTGCTATTTTATAATGGAAGCAGATCCTAAGTTGTTATACTCACTAAAGCAAGCACCATCGTTATTATCACTATTTTCAAATTAGTGCGATCATAGAATTCTATGAATGAATTCTGCATTTACTAATAGAAATAATTATCTTTATAATAGTAAAATCGAGCTTGATTGTATACATAGAATTCCATGACGCATCAATTCAAATATAGCTATATTACATACTGATACCTAGGAATGTAAACAAAACCCGGTAGTTTGGACTCCCAAAGTTTTTACTAAATTCAAACAATTGTATCACATTATAACCCAAACTTATACAACACTGATTAGAGCGCGAGTCATAAGATAAAGTCTGAGGAATTACCACACTCGCATCAATTCAAATGTAGATATATTAAATACTGATACCTACGGATATAAACCAAACTTGGTAGTTTGGATTCCCAAAAGTTTTTACTAGATTCAAACAATTGTATCACATAAAATAAAAATCGTACATTGTCTGGTAATACAGAGGAATTACCACACTCGCGCCAATTCAAATATAGCCATATTAAATACCGATACCTAAGGACGTAAACCAAACCTGTAGTTTGGATTCCTAAAAGTTTTTACTAGATTAAAACGATTGTGCAACACTGATTAGAGCGTGAGTCATAAGATAAAAGTTATGGAGAATTATTTCCACAATTGTGAAAAAAATTCCCATACTATTATCTCTGTCTTGTTTGTTTCATAGAGTTGATTGGTCCTTGAGATTTGAGATATGGAAATGGGCACAGGTTTTGGGCGATAAATGTTAATTTCTAAACCCAAATTAAGTAAAACCCCAAAGTGTCCCATTTGGGTTTGGTTACCCATACCGATACCCAATGTTTTACGTATAACAAAATAAAGGTACTGCAGATATTAGTGTTTAATTATTAAAAGTGATTGATAATAAAATTTCTTAAGTTAGAGTGTATTAAAATTCCATTTGCACATGATTATATTATAGTAATCCCATCTAACCTAGGCTGGGCTGTTCTCAAGCATCTAAATTGATTGACAAGATAAGTATAAGATATTGGATCATGCGA